CGATGGTCCTGAACGTCCGGTTCGGTGGGTCTGGCCTTTGGTGCAGGTGGAGGCGTGGCGATCAGTGGTGGTGTAGGTGTAGGTGGCGGTATCTGTGGTGTAGGATTCGGTGGATGTTCATCTTGTTGAAGAAGGAGTTGACGTTGTTCTTGTGCCCGTTGAGAATCCATGAGTAATAGTTGCTGAGCTTGGATAAGTCGAACAGATTCGGCCAGTTGTTGTGCGGTGGAACCCAGGGATGCAAGTTCAGGTGGAACGGATGAAGTCGGTGCTGTCTGAGGTGTCGATGGTGTAGCGTGAGGAGGGGTTTTCGGAGCTGGTCTGCGCGGTCGATCCGGTCTTTTGTCAGAGCGATGCCTGGGAGCTGCTTTGACTGCTGGGGGCCGTGGTGAAGGCTCATTTGGAGGGATCGTCGATGCGTCCATCTGTAATGGAGGTTGAATGTGGTGAGGTGGGTATGGAGAACTGGGCAAAGGAGTTGGTGTCATAGTCGATGTAGGTGGTGTAGTCGATGTAGGGGATGGAGCCGAAGTGGAAGGCCACGCGGGTGGAGCGGTAGGTGCCATAGGAGATGGAAAAGTCGACGGAGCGGTGTGTACCATAGTTGGTTCAGGAGCCAAAGGTGAAGGCATGGTGGGTACAAGTTGTGGACCTGGTACTGCATGAGGAGCCGAAGTCAATGAGGTGAACGGCAACGATGTTGGGGCGGATGTAGACGGCATGAGCGAAGCGGAGGATGACCATGTAGGATGCAAAGCCGAGGGATGTCCAAATAAATGTGCACTCGGTGTCGATTGCGGCCACGTCGAAGATGGGTTCGAAGGCTGTGGTGGAGCAGGCCATGATGTTGGAGTGTTCCACGGATGCATCGCTTCAGTAGGTCAAAACAAAAGTGGACAATTGTAAAAAGTTTCACATACAGGATTCAGTCCCTAACTACCTACAAAATCGTGCAATTATTCCCTGCACCGGGACCGTGGTCAAGTCGTGCCGCAATGGCATAAAACAGCTTTCAAGTTCCAACGAATTAGGTGCACAATATGTTTCACCTCACCAGACAACCATCAAAAGAAAGGATCACCACACCTGAAAGTCGTGTGCCTGCCTGATTTCTCTGTCATGATTTGATGCAACGGTGTTGCAAAGCAGCTGCAAAAAACGGAGGTTTCAGAACATTCGGAATGGCTTCCCTTGAAAGAACGCAGCACTGGGGTCCCTGGGACAATAGGAGCGGCGGGACATCACAAAAGGCGAATAACCGAAAGGCTGGCTGTTGCACTTTACTTAAATGAATTACTGAGTTGAAACGTGTAAATTCAGAATTCAAGTCTGTCAACACTCACCCTGAAGAGGGTTGCCTCCAATGGCTCCATGGCACCATGTCGGAGCCACCATGGAAATCACACTAGACAAGAATGGATCATTATATGATCCGGCAGGAACTGAATCCTGAAACATGCAAACCAGCCTAGATTATTTGATGAATAAAAGAGCCACATGAGGTACTTCTCGAAAACGATGTAGGGCATCCGAATTGTCAAACGTAGTCATAACCAGATTCCATAGAGTTTTGACCAGCATGTTGAAATCCAAAATAATGTTTCGGCGATTGTTTCCCAAAATAACCCATAGTTCGTCGGCGACAGGATCTCGGCGAAAATAAGTCAAAAAACATAATACTGTCGGCGATATGGTTTCGGCGAAAATCTGAGGAAGGTTCTGATGCATGTAAATGTCAAAATTGATTCCAGATTGCGTCAACAGTGCAGTAAATTGAAATTTCAAATGAACGACGTGGAGGTTCTTGGGTTGAGCCTCTTCCCATTTCAGTAAATTGGCAGGTACGTCACGGTGATCAGCCGTGATATCACAAGCATTGGATAGGTGTCTTCGTTGGCACCTGACCTATCCATGCTCCAGGTGCCCCCTGCAAATTAGTGAAAACCAATCAGAAGTTTTACATCTGTTCAGATGGTACACACACACACGCAAGACTACACTACACTACGTGACATGCCATGACGTTTCGTTACGTTCCGTTGCATTACACAGACAACATAGATCCAAGCCAATGCCGTAACGCCCTGCTCAGTCGGACCATTTCTCAGTCGGGGTTTCAAGTTGGTGATCCAATCCGATCCAGTGGAAATCAAAACCAAATGATGGTCCATTGAACCCAAGAATTGCTATCTCGGAGAATTGTGAGTCAATTGCCTGGAAGCCAAAAAGTATCAATTTGATTTTTCAATAATATCCAACCATTGAATTCGCATTTTGGCTGAGTTCTGGCTTTTCGAGGGGCCCAATTTGAAACCCTGAAGTCCGGTTTGCCTGTGTGGCAAGATTCGTGTCGCTGCCGACGGCCGCGGCAAAAGTGCGGAACCGAAAAAGCTCCGACTCCAGGGGCCCTGGTCATGGCTGGTACCATCTGGTGAACTAACAGTTTGCTATGGAAAATCACCATTTTTAATGGGAAAATCCACTATTTCTATGGCCATTTTCAATTGCTATGTTAGTTTACCAGAGGGTATGTCAAGCTGATGACTCTCTGCATCGCCTGTAGGACTTCGAAAGAGGTTGTGGCTTGGAAGTCTATGAGGTTGGTGACAAGATGGGTGGGCGCAAGCCGCTTGCTGTGGCTACAGTACACCTCATTGGATGGCATCATGGATAGCATGTTTTTTTCTTGTCTCAAAGAGAGGTAGGTTCGTCTGAAATGCTCATGGAACCTAGACGGTTTCACTGGATTCAATTTTTTTTTGGTCTCTTCCACTGTTGAAAAGGTCTGAAAAAACCAATGTTTGGCTGTTTCCATTTTGGTGCCCAATCTCGATTTTTGTTGGTGATGATGGAGCTGAATTCCATCCCCATGTTCATGGAATACAACAACGCCCGAAAAGACCGGAAAATCAAATTCTGCCATCATTTTAGCAGACTTTTCCGTATCTTTGTGGGAGTTCCTATATCAATAGGGACACATCCCCGTCAATAGTTTTTTTTCTTTATTTGGCAGTGTGTCAAAACCTTGTACCCCATGTAGTTCACATCAAAATAGCTGGGTTCAAATGGATGTTCATCCCACTAAAAATGGTATTTTCATAGGTATTGATCCATAGCCATCTCTTTTCTTTTTTGTAAAACGCCACAGGTGGAATTGAGCCCGGTCTACGCGCAGCGCGACGCCACCTTCATAGAGGTGGGTTTTTCATCGTTATGTGGCGGAAAGAATTGGAGGATTTGCACCAAAAAAGGGGGATAGAACACCATTCTAGTGGCAAAATTGGGGTCTCTGGAAATGGGATATACCTATGTATACCTCCAATTATTGCCATTCAATAGGGAAAATGATGATTAACCAGTGGGTTTAGGGCTACACTATTTTCAGACAAACCCAGTTATCCTATAAGTGCATTCCAAACATCTTTTTCAGTGGTGAAGCCATTCCAGCAAGCCATTCCAAACATGTCATCAACCATGGCTTGCTGGGTTTGTTGATACCGGAGACTACACCAGATATAGGGGGACATAAGAATTATTTGAACAATTGTAAAAAACCAGCCATTTTGAATGAGAAACTCATGAGACAGAGTTCAATATTATAGGGATTTACAGGGTAAATAACCAACAAGATGCTTTTGTTTTTGGGTTCGTCTCGAAAGATTTGACCCAATTATGGACATTTGAAGGGGAAATACTGATCAACCGTGCGATGGAAAGAAGTTGATGTGTTTTCAACCTTGCAAACTCATTGGAAGCAGTTGTAGCACATTCTAACTGTTGACTCTGACTTGGAAGTAGCTGTGAATTCTGGGGTGAACACGCGCGCATTTGGGAACTTCATCTGTTCGCAATGGATGTTCATCCCTGAATCACATGAGAAAATCATGGGCTTTGACCTACATATGCCAAATCTACCTCACACGGACCATAAGATCATCACCACCATCATCACCATCATCACCATAATCACCATAGTCACCATAATCACCATAATCACCATAATCACCATAGTCACCATACTCACCATAATCGCCATCATCACGATAATCACGATAATCACCATAATCACGATAATCACCATAATCACCATAATCACGATAATCACGATAATCACCATAATCACGATAATCACCATAATCACCACAATCACCATCATCACCAAAATAACGATAATCACCATAATCACCATAATCACCATAATCACCATAATCACCATAATCACCACAATCACAATAATCACCACAATCACCCTAGTCACCATAATCACCATCATCACGATAATCACCATATTCACCATAATCACCATAATCACCACAATCACAATAATCACCACAATCACCCTAGTCACCATAATCACCATCATCACGATAATCACCATAATCACCATAATCACCATAATCACCACAATCACAATAATCACCACAATCACAATAATCACCACAATCACCCTAGTCACCATAATCACCATCATCACGATAATCACCATAATCACCATAATCACCACAATCACAATAATCACCACAATCACCCTAGTCACCATAATCACCATAATCACCATAATCACCATAATCACCATAATCACCATAATCACCACAATCACAATAATCACCACAATCACCCTAGTCACCATAATCACCATCATCACGATAATCACCATAATCACCATAATCACCATAATCACCACAATCACAATAATCACCACAATCACCCTAGTCACCATAATCACCATCATCACGATAATCACCATAATCACCATATTCACCATAATCACCATAGTCACCATAATCGCCATCATCATCATGATCATGATCATGCATCATCATGATCATGCATCATCATGATCACGATCATGCATCATGATGATCATGATCATGATCATCAGGTTGTCGTGGACATCATCGAGCAAACCGGTGGTTTGGTCTACTTGGTGGGTTCGGCGCTCAACTGACATGTCGCCGGGCAGGGAATCAGGAGGGTTGCCAACCCCATTGGCTTGGGAGGCTTGGTGGAGGTGCGCTCCGATTCGAAGTGCCTGGGCGGAGCAGACAGTTCTATGCAAACATGGGGGGGACGAGTAGTGATTGGTGGCTTCAATAGTTTGTTTAGCTTTTCTTAAACTGTTGCACCTGTCCATTTTTCTGGGGGCGGACATATTTTTTTCAGGAGGGAAAAGGCAACAGTTAATTACTGAGCTGCATGGATTGGTCCCCGATCGGCAAAAACATGGAGAGTTTTCAATGATGGGCCACTACTGGGAGCCCAGTCATTGGTTGTTGGTTCACCTTATTCCTAGCTGGTAATGGCTTAAGATTATGGCCCCGGACATTAGATGGTTTAGTGCCAAAAGCATGAGCAACATCGTGGGTCCATAAGTCATCTTGCGTTGACCCATTTGTTGGTTGGCTTTTCTGGGGCCATGGCCTCCAAGGAAAGTTCTCGTCAATCCTGGTCCCACCTTCAAGATCAAGCAGGTCTGGGAGCGCTAAGAGGTGGCTGCGAGCCATGGTCTGAAAGGTGGGACTTTCCAAAACAGAGTCCTTGCCCTGGCCTGGAGGGCTTCACTACGAGGTAATCCAAGATGAAAACTCAGCCATCCGGGCTTCATTATGTTGAGTATCCGAAATGTCCCAACCTTCTTCTGCGAGGGGAGTGCAGATCCGTTCAATACCTTGCAGTCCCATCTTGTTTGGTCGGCAATGCTTCAAAATCAGGAAGGTGCAATCGCTCAGGTCCGTGACTAGGGATCCAAAAAGCAGGCAACACATACTGCAAGAGGAAAATCCACCGAAGGGCTGCCTTACATGATTTGATCCATGTAGAGATCCAAACATGCAGAATTCGAGCGGCTGGACCTAAAAATCCCTCACCTGCCGCTCAGTCCATGCCGGGTTTCAAGATCATGGGTATTTTCCTGGCCTCCGACCGGGAGGCTGAGCCTGGCTGGGTCAGGAAGAAATTCTTGATGGAACTGGCTTGGCGAGGTTTCATTTCTTGCAGTTTCCGGCCCTAGAATTTAGGACCAACATCTCCCAACTGACTCACTTTTTGGTGCATGGAAGCAACTTGGCAACTGGCCGTGTCAGCTGCTTCAGGCCATCATGCAGTGCGATGTTGGCATGGTCTTCCTAGGCCGGCGTGAACGGATCTCTATGGAGGAGGTGGGGGCTACCAGCCTTGTGCCAAATCTGCTGATGGTGAGTGCAACCACTACTTTGGGACCGTGGTATGATCTTCCGGTTCCCCAAAACTTGGGATGTCAAACCCTTCCAAACTGAAGGATCAGTGGGAAACTCAATTTTTGGTGGTGATCATTGGCTGATCAGCCCGAAGCGTGATGTTTCAGGAAATGCAGGGAATGATGTTATCCCAGCTTCATCCAGCTTCATCCAACTTCACGTTTCCAAGAAAATCGGCCAAAGAAGTAACACGTCAGTCCTGCTTAAACTTAAGCATGACCCGCATGCCAGGGAGATGTCGGTCGGGAAGATGATGTGGGTGCGCCGGGAAGCAATGGGAGGGTCATCAGTGGTCAAGCAGTTCCGTCGTAGTTGTGGGGCCTGTTGTAACCAAGACTGAAGCGAGGGTAATTTCTGGCCACTTTTTTTTTAAAACCTTGATCTCTGTTGTTGGTGTTGCGGTTTCCATAGTAGTGAAGCAGAACGCATGATACATCTCAGAAATGATGGTCAATCAGGAGCACCATCCCTTCCAGGAGAGGACGGTGTTCTGTTGATGGTGCTGGTTGATGTCATCGAGGATCCCATTTGAAAGATGCCCAACAACCACAAGGGCTTTCAAGTCTGTTGTAAACCTGCCAGTGGCTTGTTCAGCCCATCTCTTGTTTGATGAACCCACAAAAAACATCAGAAAACAAACATATGCCCTAAAGATTCTCCCAATCATCTTTAGCAAATCCATCTTGTTCGGGATGTTACAAAAACGATTCATTTCGGCGTTGCCACAGGTGATGCTGTACAAAAGCTCAAGGTCAAGGTGTGGACATGCAGTGGATGTGATGGGGCTTCCCAAGCAGTGAGAAGTTCCGAATGATCTCCGGAATTTTGCCTTGTTAACCCTGTGTGGTGGGTGAATATCCATGAATATCCATGAATATCCCTCAGTTATCCCTCAATTTGTTGGTCAAGATCACCATTTTTCACGACAAACCCGAGTCTTCTTGTTGGTTCTTCCGCATCCAGGAAGATGATGTGCCAGAGATGAACCATGTAAGTTTGAAGGCTGAGCACAAGGCGAAGCAAGGGAAGAACGGAAGCAAGGGAAGCAAACAAAAACGCCAGAAAAATATCACAGATCTGGTTTCATATGTTTCATTCTTTATGGGACACAATTGCATATCAATCATGTAAATCATATCATCCATCTGGTTTGTGACATACCTTTCAAGCTCCAATTGAGCTCAATTTTCGGGTTTATTCCAGTGGCAAACTCAAGTTTTGTTGCATATGCATTGTCAACTGTGCCACGTTGAACTGACGATATAGATATCTATATCTATATCTATATCTATATCTATCTGGTTTGTGCCACGTTCAACTGTTGTATTGCTACCGTGTTGCCCAGTGACTACCGCTTTAGATTTCGCACCTCTTCGGTAGTGAAATCTATCTGAATGACACATCCAGGTCAAGCCGGAGAGACTGTACCATCTATCGGAAAAGTTGTGGACACATCCTAACCATATATATATATATATATAGATAGAATATGATATAGATATAATATGATATGATATAATATAATATAATATGATATTATATATGTATACTATATATGTGCCTGAATCAGTCCCTAACATCCTCATGGGCGCGTTCTTGTCAGGCTGCAGCCCTGCATTTGGCCAGAGTGGCGCGCAGGTGCCGATTCCCGTGACCGAAAGTGAGGCATTTGAGGACTCCATGGGGGATACGCCATGGGGATATGATGGGTATATAATCATTATATATTTACTTATGTATATATATATATATGTATATGCATATATATATATATACATATGTATATATGGGTATATATATATGTATATATATGTCAAAGGGAACACAGCGGTAGCACATGTAACAATTGACAATGTTACGGCCATTCTGGCTCAAGTGCCCGCAAGAGGAAAACGGCCGCGCGCTGACTGCAATGCCTGGGTAAGGTTCGGTAACAACCAGCACATAAGGTACTACCATTCGACTACATCCGGAACAAGGATTCATTTGTTCACAGGTTATCAGCCGTAGGGCTCACTTCTCCCGCCGGGAGAGTGGTACCTGCGTGCTGGTAGCCGGGCCTTTTGAGCAATTGATTGAGGACGCAAAGGACCAATCAGCTCATCATCGCAAAGATGCAAGGCGGCAGCGGAGATTCGCGCACCACGCAGTTTACCTTCAATGAGAACACTGCCATGCCGGTCGAGGAGGTCAATCAATCTTCCCCTGGTGACACGGCAGACAGTGGTGGGATACGCTCTACCCGAACTACACAATCCGGATGGCAAGTTACGTCAAACAGACGAAGGATATCCACCCAAAGTACACCAAGATCTTCTCGAAACAGTGCACGAAGTGATGTTGTCCGCCAAGGGCATCGACCATCTCGAGGACGAACTACTCCAAGGGACAGATCCACCAGGGCCGTAACCGACCGAATTGGTGAGAGGACCGGGGATAGTCGTGTTAAGAGGAGATCAACGGATACTTCTGTGGGTAGTGAACCTATTGCCATGATAGAAGAACTACGGGCACAATGTCAATCCCTACGTAATCAGTTGAACCACCTGGAAGCATACGCTGCATCTAGAGATCAACTGATTCATGACCTCGAGATCAGATTCACTGAGTATCTTCAAGAACACAACCAACATGTGTTTGATGAGGTCAATGCACTCAATCATAGATTGTCATGTTCCGCAAATGAGGTTGCAGAATATCAAGCAGAACTAATGGTAGCATCTCAGGAAGACGAAGGTGCAACAATACGCATCCAAGACCTTGAACGCCGAGGTGCCCTAATGGAACTTGGTGCACGACGTATCTATCAACGTGGTATGGAGATCCAGGAGGAGTACCAGGATGAAGTACATCACCTTCAAGGACTATTGGGTAATACGGAGGCAAGACTGCAACAACTTCATCAAACCAATGTCTTAACCACCGATATTGCCAATCGACTATACAATGAAGGTCAAGAAATGCAGACAGATTTCCAGAACTCAATCATGGAATATCGTAATCGATCCGAAATGGCATCCTTCTCTAGCAACCAACTCGAAGTGATTAGCCAACAACAATCAATTGCAGTTCATGAATTATCTGAACGGAATCAGCTATTGAGTGAAGCTTTGGTTCAGTCTCGTAAACAGGCCGAGCTGTATGAAAGCAGTATTGACGAGATCACTAGAGAATCTAGGAAGAAGGTTTTCGAGGCAAATCAGGCCAAATTGGAAAGTGATCTGAAGCATCGAAACACTGAACATGATACCGTCAGAAGAATTGCATCATACAGGAACCAAGAGGCCGAAGCAATATCACACCTGAGGCTTGAATCACAGGCTAGTGCAAACTCGATCGCAAGGGCAGAGCACTATGAAGAGCTCTATGCCAACGAGCAGGAAATGAACTGCGAATTAAAGGATGAGATCAAGTTGCAGAACACGAAGTTGCGAAGATCGTTGACTCAGGGTACTACGACCGACGGTCGTGGCCCCGATGAGATGCTTGTTGAAGATCTACGTAATCAAGCCAAAATCGCTCAAATCAGGGTTCAGGACCTAGATCATGAAGTTCATGAATGTTTACAAGAGAACATATTGTTAAAGGAGAGATTGGCTGAAGTTGCGGATGTAGGGGCGTCGTCCCTCACCAACGCTGAGGTCCGAACTCTAAAATCTGAACTAGAGAATGAGCGCAAAATGAAGTTGGCTAGTGGTGTTCAACAGTATGAGAGATCATGCATGTTCATGGGGGAAATCCAGGATAGGGATGAAAAGATCGGTATCAAGAATTCTGAGATTGTTGACATGAAACGTCACTTAGATGAACTGAGAAAGAGTCTCAAGGATTCTGAAACATCTATATCTAGGGTCAGCCCTGACACACTTCCCTATTCGGCAGGCATTCCCAACTACGATCTCGCATCAAGACTAGTCATCGACAAACTGGAGAATGACGTGAGTGAGGCTAACTGTGAAAACGCTATTCTGAAATCTTGGGTTTCGCAGATCGACAAGGAGTTGAACTATGAGACAAATATGGCTCATTCCTATCGTGAACATGCTGTACCTTCTCAACGACAACCTTCTCAATCAAGCAAAAGAATCACTGATCTGCTGAAAGAGGTTGACAACAAGATCGCTGATGGAACTGAGAGGGACTACTACAAGCCACCGAGTGGATGGGGCGGTCCGCCTGATCCTGATGGACCTCCGGACCCTTTCGGGCCTAACGGTCCAGGACCACCTCCCGAACCTCCAGGTTTGCCTTCAGTTCGAGGATCACAACGCGATTCAGCAGATGATGTCTCCACAGCGGCTTACACTGCAGAAGAAGTGCCGAGAATGTCAAGACGGGAGGCTGACAAAGTCTATGTTAGCCCATGGCCGAAACAACAGAATCTTGGGGTTTGGCAATCAGATCTCATCAAGAGTGTTGTTCTTTCTGCAAATGATGGGGACAAAGCCGCATGGGAAGCATGGCTACAGCCGGCTATTCGACCAAATCCTGACATCGAGCTATTAAATGACAGTGGAGGGCAACGGTATCAGTCAATCGACGCCAAGTTGTCAATTGCATTGTCAAACGTGATAGCCCAAGCCGGTGATGTTGCTCGTCATGTAGCGATCAAATTGAGATTGAGAACACAAAGTCATAGTCGAAGAGGAACCTATGTCATGGGACGGGAAATCTTGGCTATGATCCTGGAGCACTTCAGAACCCCAGGTCAACGAGAGACAGCCTTCACCATGGAGCACATCGTATCGATGAAATATCTCGGTGACTCAAACCTGGAAGTGTTCTACGAGAAATGGATGGAGATGGTATCAAACATGATGCCGGATGATGTACCTCCTGATGATTGGCTTCGTGACGCTCTATACAAGAAGATTCGAAATTCGAGTCTTATGATGTTTGACATCAAGCAGTACGAGTCATGGATTGAAGGAGACCAAAGACGAAACTATCGCTATCTGTTGGACGTCATCGAAAGGCACATCTCCAGAATCAGAGAGGACAAGCATGTGGCCGCCAGAGAGAAGTATGCAAGAGACTTTGCAGGTGGCGGCAAACCTACAGCTCCTGCCCCAAATCCAACTGCTGCTGCACCGGATGCAAATCCAAAAGCGAAGCCTAAAGCTACTCCCAAGGAGAAGGCAGCGCCCAAGGCGAAGGCCAAGGCCGATGCAGCTCCAGTTCTACCATCACCTCAGCCTAAACAGCATGCAAAAGGAAAAGGGAAAGGTCAAGGGAAAGGAAAGGATCGAGCAAACAGCCGAAGTACAAGCCCGAGATCCAAGAAGAAGATCCCATGCCATTTCCATTTCATC